TAATCTACAGCAAGCATCTCCCCAAGAACACTTCAGACAGATCAACCCAGTCCAGGAATGAATGGCTGTGGTGGGCAGGCTTCTCTTTCAGAGATCAGGGCTTATTCTTAAAACTCTCTCCTCCCCCACCCGCCCCCAACAACAAAAAAATGACCAGTGTCTGGATATTCCTTACCAAGGTTCCACAGATTTCAGAGATCCCAGAACACATGGCTCCAAAGCAACCTGGTTCAGCGGGACGTATCCGTTAAAAGATACAACCCAAAGGAAAATGGGCAATTAGAATATCCCAGAAAGGGCCTCCTGGAGGCGGCGATGGGCGGGGGGGGAGGGGGGAGGACGACAACAAGGAGGGGAGGACAGATCACTCACAGGAAGTGGTAGATGAGACTGTCCCCCAATTGCCCCTGGGATGACCCTTCCCAACCAAGCAGAAACCAAATTCTGGGCGCAGGACGCTGCCCATCCCCATCAAGGTCCCTGAGCAGGAGGAGGAGCACCAGGGTTTGGTCCAACGACAGGCAGGCAGGCAGGCAGGCTGGGCTGCGAAGGGGAAGCATTCCACCAGAAATCCTGGCCCTTGCCAGCGAAGGCTGGCAAAAGCGGAGGAGTTCAATAAATTAATCCTCGGAGGCTAGACAGAGTGGGAAGGGCAAGTCTGAGAATACCCGAGAGCAGCAGCAGCAGCAGAGTGACAGAGGAAGTCTGAGACAGGCATGGGATTAAAGGGGCTGGAAAAGGCGGAGCAGACCCGATGCCGGCACATAAGAAAGGGCTTCTTTTAGAAAGAAAGAGAGAAAGAAAGAGAGAAAGAGTGAGAGAGAAAGAAAGAAAGAAAGAGAGGGGGGGTCAATGGCGGATTTCTTTTAAAACGCACCATTCAAAAAAGAGAAAGGTATCACGGATCACAGGTGGAAGGCTTGCTCTTCCAGGCTGCTCAACCCAGACACAGAAACGAAACAGGATTCTTTCTCAGTGTCTGCGGACAGAGTGGACGCCTCCTTTGAATGGGTATCTCATACAGCCCTTTTCTCCATTTTGGCAGTAAAATCAATGCCCAATGGGAGCTTTCGTACAACACTACAGTTCTTCCTTTCGCCGGAGGGATGAACGGGAATGCCTTAGACTTTCACCTGTAGACTTCAGCCTGCAGGTTCATCGGACATATGTAACTAAGAATGTTAGCCTAATTTGCATCTAATAAAGAGAGTTGTGGGGTGCCATTCTCTTTATTAGATGCCAGATATGCTCTGTGAATGGCTGGTTTCATAGTGAACTTGTCTGCTACAGGAGGGCTGAATTTGCTTAATTTAAAGCTTACATAAAAGGGCTGTCAAAGAGAAGCACAATTATTCGGGACAAAGAAACATCAATCCATGGTCTCTTGGTGTCAAGGTGAGGATCAGGGTGAAGAGGAGAAGCCGCTGCTCTCATTCTGTCTCTGGGCCTTTTAAATCTAAACAGACATCTGGCATCCATTCTGTCCTGCTGTGTTTTTTTTTAAATAAGATCTACTCTTACTTTCCCCCCTGCAGCTAACTTTTACAATGCTCATCTTGCTAATCATGGTTTATGTTTTTAAAACTGAGAAGTACCGAAGCTAAAGGCTATCTGGGCATCATGACAACACTGCTCGAATCCCCTTCTCTGACGCAGATGTATCGGGATCCCATTTCAGTTATGCACTACCAGATGAAGGATGAGGCCTCTGCTTTGCCAGAAGCAGTAAATTCACTTTGAGTATTGCCTGAAATTTAAAGGAGCGATCTAAGGTGCTCAGCATATTTGGGGAGGAAGGGGAGGCCTAGCCTTCAGCACCTTGGAGAGCTCCCATAAAGTTTGCAGTAAAACCCAGAACAGACACATTGCCTCCATGAATTCTCCGTCGTCAACCCCACCATCACCGTGGAGAAAAGGACACCACACACCAACAGATTGTCTCATTATTGCTTTGCGTAACCCATGAATTAAATAAAATGAATAAGCCACACAGGGATGCAGGTGGCATGTGAGTTAAAACTGCCGAGCCACAGGACTGTTGATCAAAAGGTCGGCAGTTCGAATCCACGCCACAGAATGAGCTCCTGTTGCTTGTCCCAGCTCCTGCCAACCTCGCAGTTCGAAAGCATGCAAATGCGAGTCAATGAATATGTACCACCTCGGCAGGAAGGTAACCGTGTCTAGTCATGCCAGCCACATGACCACGGGAAGTGTCTGCGGACAAGCGCCACCTCTTCCACTTACAAACACGGATGAGTTGGGCACGACTGGACTTAATTGTCAGGAGGAACCTTTACCTTTACCTAATAAGCAACGCACAAACCACAAACTCCAAAAGACACAGATTACAAGCCAGAATGTGGCATGAGGCATATAACAAACAGAGCAGCAGAGAAACACAGGTTGCCAAGAAAAAAAAAAGACTCTCTATCAAGGAGTGTTTCCAAACGTCTTTTAAATGTTGGGAGGGATCCAGATGAAGCTCCACCAGCAGTTGATTCCAGAGTGTTGGGGCCACCGCAAAGAAAGCCCTGCTTCTAGAAGCTGA